AGATAGATAGATAGATAGATAGATAGATAGATAGATAGATAGATAGACTAATAATGGATGGATAGCAATAGCACTTAGACTTCACAGTGCTTTACAGTGCCCTCTAAGCAGTTTACAGAGCATAGTTTCTCTCTAATCCACCACAACACATCTCCAACCAACTCCCCCCCTCCCCCGAGTCAGAGATTATTCTCATCACAGAAACATATTTCACACATGCACAGAATTCATCTGAGAATGTCTATCTATTTTCTTTCTAACAGTCCACCTTTTCCAAATTAACCAACAGGAATTGACTGCCAGCTCGTGGGCCGAGCGAGACTGGCCCAAAATCACCAGCCACCTAAGGGAGGACTAGAACTCACCTTCTCCTGGTTTCTAGCCAGGAGCTGTAATCGCTTGGGCAAATTGGCTCTCTATTGGGAACATTCCTGCTTGGTCAATGACACAAGAATAGCAGATGACCTAATGTGGGTCTCATACGCCACCACCCAGAACCTTTGAAGGATACAATAATACCCCGGACAGCAAAATAAGTTGAAATAGAAGGGATACAGACCTCCAACTGCATGATGCATCTGAAGAAGTGAGTTCTGTCCAATCAAAGCAAAATTTATTCAGTTATATCTCAGCTTCACTACCTCACGAAGTATCTGAGGTCTTGCCAACTTCTGTAAGAGCATTGGGCTCTTATAGAAGAGCTGATGGTCCCAATTCAGGGAGTTCTTCCGATCTTCCAAAGCTCTCCAGAACAGTGGAACAGAAGTTGCCTTTGGAAATTGTGGGAGCTTCATCACTGGAGGCTTTCAAGAAGAGACTGGACTGCCATCTCTCAGAAATGGTGTAAGAGCCATGAGGGTGAATGTATGGCATGCATGCCAGAGGTGGCACACAGAGCCCTCTCTCTTGGGCACACAAACCGTCACCCCAGCTCAGCTCTGCCGCGCATGTGTGTGCACCTCCCAACAGCCAGCTGGTCTTTGGGTCTCTGCTGCGCATGCACGGGGACACACACATTATGACGATGCA